GCTGCGCAGTGGAGGCGCCGCGTTCCTTTGGGGGAAACTGAGGCCCGGCCCGCGGTCTGTCCGCCTCTGGCTGTGGCCCCGCCCGCCGCGTGGTTTTCCCGCCAAAAACCGTCCCGGGGGCCGCCGGTGCCCCCGCGGGGCTGGAGGTCTGGTCAGTGGTTCCCGCCCTTTGCCCTCCCCCGCCCGGCGCTTCCCGCCCAAAGAGCTCGGATGGCCCCGGCCTGGGGGTCTGCGCCCGCCTTCCCAGGCCCCCCACTAATCAGGTCTGAGTGCCAGGGGGGCACAGTTTCCAACAGGCAGCAGCGGGGACGCGGGCGCGGGGAGGGAAATACGCAGACGTGTGTGGAGATGGGAGCAGAGAGACCAGGAGAGGAAATGGGCCTCAGGAGTCTCATGGTCCAGGTGTAGGGATAGACAGAGAGAGAAGGGGCGGCCCTAGCTTGTTTGGATCAGTGGATAGAGCATCCGCCTGTGCACTGAGGGGTCCCAGGTGTGATTCCGGTCAAGGGCACATGCCTGGGTTGAGGGCAAGGTCCCCAGTCGGCAGCCAATCAATGATTCTCGCTCATCATTGATGTTTCTATCTCCCTCTCCCTCTCCTTTCCACTCTACATCAATAAAATATATTTTTAAAAATGAAAAGAAAAGGGGAGTAAAAGCAGGGAGAGGAAGGAGGACACAGGTAAGGTCCGCAGTGGAGAGAAAGGGAACAGGGAGACAGACAGATCCATAGACAGAAATACATAGCAGTGGGAAGAGGGGAACCCTGATCTGGGTGAGGGGTGAGCTGATGGTGTGTGGATGGTTAAGTTATGATTTATTGGCTTGTTGCTTTATTTGTGTGTGTCTGTGTGTTTGCCTGTGTGTGTGTGTGTGTGTGTGTGTGTGTGTGTATTAAGGACATTTCTATTGATCTCTCAGGCAAGGAGAAGGAGAAAGAGAAAGAAAAATCACCGAGGAGAGACAGTCATTGATCATCTGCTTCCTGCATGCCCCTCACTGGGGATCAAACATGTAACCTGGCCACATGCCCTTTCTAGGAATCTAACCATGACCTCCTGGTTCTGAGGTCCAATCTCAACCAGTGAGCATGGCTTTATATAGTTAATTTAACATCTGAATTGTCTTATTCAGATTTGAATGAGAGTGACAAATCTCAGTGCGTAAGGCTTGGGAATTTTATAATAATTTGCTTTCAATTGCAATCTGTATTCACTCAGAGGGGAGAGACTTGTCTGTTGCTCATGGATCCCTTGTTCTGCGATGGCAACAAAGAGGTGATCTGTGTCTGTCACCACCTGATGCTTTTTCAAGGAATATTAGAAGCCTCAGCTTTGTGGCTGTGGTGTTTTGTGAGTGTGTGTGGGTGTTTGTGTGTGTGTGTGTGTGTTACTTCAATTGATTTACTTTTTCTATGTCTGACAATTTATTATTTAAGAACATCCTGTATGTGTGTGTGTGTGTGTGTGTGTGTGTGTGTTACTTCAATTGATTTACTTTTTCTATGTCTGACAATTTAATATTTAAGAACATCCTGAAGTAAATCCTCTGGGTCTTCTCAGATCCCCTGAGGAGCTGTAAGGAATGCCCTCAGGTGCACTTTCCCCCGTGGAGGAGGACAGCCGCCCTGGCTGGGGCATCATTGGTCACTGAGGTGCCCCGGGTGATTGGAAGGTGGGGACAGGATTAGCAGGGGGGTTGCAGGACGCCTTTGTGAGAGTGGGAGCAGGCTTTGTTCAGCGGAGGTAAAGGGGTGCTCGGTTTGGTTTGGGGGTCAGGACAGCAGCTCATCTCATTTCTGTAGGAGTTTGTGGAAGTTTTTGGGAGGAGAGACACATGAAGACACAGAAAAACTCACAGTGTGGCTCCATGTAGGAGCTCATTGTCGCTGACTCTCCTGTGACCCAGGACATGAGGGGTGACCTCTTCCTCATTTCCAGGTCCTTCTGACGGTGAGGTGAGGGGAGCTGATTGAGACGCTGTGCTGAAGTCTTTGAAGGCCCATTCTGTGACTCCTCAACACACTGTCACCTGAGAGGACAACTCAGACCCCGATCACGACCAGGACCAATGGCTGCTTCTCAGGTAAAAGATGTGTCCTGGGTCCCAGGCTGTGTTTCCTTTTCCTCTGACATCTGTGGATTTAGAACCTGCCACTTCTGATGTTAGTGCTATTCACGTTCTTTTCCTTTTCTTATTTAATTACTGTTTTTCTTGTGATAGTCAAGGTCAGCAGTTTATATAGGTTTTTCCTTTGACCAGCACCTTCTCTGCATTCATGTTATGCAGGCTCCACCAGGTCAAGAAGATTTCCCACCTTCAATTGATGACTTTTACCTACTGAAAACATTCCTCTCTGACAGATCAACATTGGAAGGCAGCCATGTCTAACATCCCTACTAGGATGGGGCCAGAAGCCTGGGTATCGGTGAAAAAGAGAAATGTAGCTTTTAGGTTCAAGTGGCTGCAGCATCAGCTCTAGAATAGGGGTAAGAAAATGCACATTTTTAAAAATATATATATTTTATTGATTTTTTTTTACAGAGAGGAAGAGAAAGGGGTAGAGAGTTAGAAACATAGACAAGAGAGAGTCACCAATTACCTGCCTCTTGCACACCCCCTGGTGGGGATGTGCCTGCAACCAAGGTACATGCCCTTGACCGGAATCGAACCTGGGACCTTTCAGTCCTCAGGCTGATGCTCTATCCACTGAGCCAAACCAGTTTTGGCAGAAAATGCACATCTTACTGCTCAGGATAGCTCAGCAAGTTCTGAAAAGAAGAGTAAATAGGAGATACTTGCTCACTAGATTATAAGAAACACTTGCTATTTAAATGTACCTTTAGCTTACAGAATGTGAGAGGTACACATGGATTGACACTTGCCACAAGTAATGTTTATTTGTGACCATTTTCACAATGACTTGCTTACTTACATATTTTTGCTGTGACATGTCCTTTCCTTGCCTCAGTCACTTGGTATCCTTTGTTCCAGTTCACCTGATACTCCCTTGGCTGAGATGCTCCCCTAATCGTAGAATTTATTGAGAGATGACACAGACCATCCAGAAGACCCCTCTTCGTCTTAGCTTCTATTTGCTGTGAACAATAAAAACCCTTTTTATTTCTTATAGATCATAGTGTTTTGACATGGGAGCTTTAACCAATCATACCTTCTTGCTTTGAATTCTCATTATATTCTACACTCACGTTATGGACATACTGGACATAATCACTTTTTATATTTTCTAGAACGTTTACAAGAATAATTTTTACAATATATTTTATTGATTTTATACAGAGAGGAAGGGAGAGCGATAGAGAGTTAGAAACATTGATGAGAGAGAAACATTGATCAGCTGCCTCCTACACTCCACTGGGGATGTGCCCGCAACCAAGGTACATGACCTTGACCAGCATCGAACCTGGGACCCTTGAGTCCATAGGCTGATGCTCTATCCACTGAACAAAACCGATCAGGGCAAGAATCATATTTTTAATATATGTTCAATTCAAGTAAGTTTCTATGATTGTAGCTCTCCACTAATGACACACAAAAATTTCCAAATAAATTAGCAACTAAGAAACAATAGGTCCAATATATTTTCTATCATTATATGAGTTCATCTCCTTATTGTGTATATAATACACAAAGGGTATTATTCAGAAGGAGGTTCATGAAATTTATGGAATCACAAAATAACCTTGATTTCATTGACATGACAATTCATTTTTCTATCCATTTTATATTATAGGTGAATTCTCATCAGTGTATCTGTCTCCACATAAAATATTAACATTGTTTGAGCTACATTTTCTTACTTGCTTAATTTGTCTTTATTCTTCTTCTCAGTCACAGAATCTGCTGTGAATATTCATGAGTTTTCTTCATTAGGTATTGACCTCTGTTTGTTTTTTCATTGTATAATAGATCGAGTTTGGAGTAAAACGGTTTAACTTTTTTTTATGTTTCACAAAATATTCTATCAAAAACAGAATAATCTTGTTCTAAGAATACTCATAGTAAAATTTCATACAGGATTGTGGTTCCTATGTATCCTATTCCACGAGTACTATAAATTCCATTGAAAAATTCTTTCACTTAAATGTTATGTATGGTCGAAACCGGTTTGGCTCAGTGAATAGAGCGTTGGTCTGTGGACTGAAAGGTCCCAGGTTCGATTCTGGTCAAGGGCATGTTCCTTGGTTGTGGGCACATCCCCAGTGGGGTGTGTGCAAGAGGCAGCTGATCAATGTCTCTCTCTCATCGATGTTTCTAACTCTCTGTCCCTCTCTCTTCCTCTCTGTAAAAAATCAATAAACTATATTTTTAAAAAAGACTTAATTAAAAAAAATGTTATGTATGAACTTTTCCCTCTGTTTTCTTTGCTGTGTATTTATAAGTATGACAAATGGACCAGAAGCGCTGACATCACAAGTTAAAAGTGAGCTTGTTACAGATGTGGAAACACAGGCCCCATCTCAGAACCTGGATCAGAATCTATATTTTTAGGAATGTGCAGTTGTGGTTGACTGTGTTAACTTCAGGCAGTAATTATGCTTCCAATTCAGCATGACATCTCTAGCTGAGAAACACACACCCTGGACCCTGAACGATGCAAACACAGCCCTCGGAAACCCATATGCCCGTGTCGATGCCCTAATTTTAAAGTTTATTTTCCTGAAAAGTAAAGTCTGTACTGGGGATTTTGGGACATGTGTCATCCTCATTTGTTAGTGTTAGAAAACATATCAGAGAATGTTACTGGGCAAAGTGATCATATTGGGGGTTTCAGGATATTCCCCTTGGTCCAAACCTCTTCTCCTAACACTGTTTTCTTTTCTGTTTGTTTTGTGAGTGTGTGTGTGTGTGTGTGTGTGTGTGTGTTGTTCCCCCCCACCCCTTATTTTTTTTTTTCTCGTCTGCTAACACTGTTTTCATGTTGGGTGACATCATGAATTCTTCTGGTGACCTCTTGTTAAACTTGTCTTTTCTTTCAGGGACCTTTGACCTTCGGGGATGTGGCCATAGACTTCTCTCAGGAGGAGTGGGAATGCCTGGACCCAGCTCAGCGGAACTTGTACCTGGATGTGATGTTGGAGAACTACAGCAACCTGGCCTCCCTGGGTGAGGATGACTTCCTTCCTGAGTTTCTCCTCCTCCCACAGGGTTTGTTCCCTTTATTATTTTAACGTCTTTAGGGGCTTCTGGTTTCTAGGGTAGACTTTCTGATTTTTGCCCTTAGGGAACAAATGGGGGGGTTTTCTGATTTAGAAAAGAAAGACTCTGTTATGGGTGTGAATTAGGAACTCACTGTTTGAAAATTTTACTTGTTGTCTAGACTAATTAAGGTATCCTTCATTTCTGACTTATATTTTTAATGGTTTTCGTGTTCTGTTTTAAGCTATTGACGTTTTCATGATGTTTCTTAGGCAACATCATAACAATTGCTTTGAATTCTGTATCTGGTAGTTTGCTTGCCTCCATTTCTTCTGGAGATTTCTCCTTTTCTTGCATTTGGGACCCGTTTTTTGTCTTCCTACTTGGCTGCATCTTTGTGCTTGACTGTGTATTAGGTAGAGCCAGGCCATCTGTGGGACTTGGGAGCATGGCTCAAGTATCGATAGATGTTCTGTAGGGATCAGGGCCACTGCCTCCCGAGTCACTCCAGCTAAGGGCTCCAGGCCAGTGCTGTGTGTGGGTTGCGTTTCCTGTCCTGTCCTTGAGCCTTGATTGCTGTGGGCACATTACTGAAGGGATCGACCCCCAGGCAGATTGACTGTGAGGACCTACTGCAACTTGAGAAGAGAAGCAGCAGTGCTGGGGCCAAGCCTCTATAACTGAACTTGCTGATGTGCTTGAGTGTCCACCAAGTCTCCCCGTGAGTGTGTCTTCCCTGGAGGTTGGGTTGTAGCTAATGAATGGACTGGCTCTGTGGCCTTCAGGACGTGTGGGCCAAGGTCAGTCACCACCTGTGTCTTCCTGGGGCCACTTGATATGAGCTACAGAGCGACTTGCAAATGGGTATTTTGTTTTTTCTTCTTAAATATGTTTTTGTTTATTTTAGACAGAGAGGAAGGGAGGATAGAGAGATAGAAACATCATTGATCAGCAGCCTCCTGCATGCGCCCTACTGTGTATGGAACCTATAGTCCAGGCATGTGTCCTGACTGGGAATTGGACCAGCGACCTCTTGGTTCATGGGTCAGTGCTATGCCCCTGGGCCACATCAGCTGGTGTGCCACACCAGCTTGATACGAGCTATAGAGCAAACTGCAAATGGGTATTTCTTTTGTTGTGCATTTGATCCCTCCTGCACACCTGGGGATGTATCTTAAACCAAGGTACATGCCCTTGACCGGAATCGAACCTGGAACCCTTCAGTCCGCAGGCCGATACTCTATCCACTGAGCCAAACCGGCCAGGGCTGCAAATGTGGGTTGTTGTTTTTTTTTTAAATAAATACCTAGAAATGGGATGTTTGCATAATGGGATTATTCTATTTAATATTTTGACATGCTACTGCATTTCTCATATTGGCACCAATTAATGTTTCATTCAGCCATGTATAGAGTCCATTTTCTCAACAGTTTATAAGACAGTTGATATACTTTTTCTTTTCTTTTTTTATTTTTCATTTTTATTTTTTAAATTCTTTATTGTTTAAAGTATTACATATAGTATTCCCTTTGTCTCCTTTTCCCCCCATTGACCTCTCCCCAGTCACCACCATCCCTCTATACTTTGTTTCTTTGATCCTGATTATACTTATTCTTCTGAAGTGACATCTTGTTTTGTTGCTTTTTATATAGGTTACAAATGTTTATCATATGGGCATGAAAAAATGATAGGAAAACACACATCCACTCAAGCTCCAAAGGGTCATGGGTTCATTCCCTGGCCCCATTAGCGGGGGCTAGTAATCAATGTTTCTTTCTCTCTCACTCTCCCTCTCTGCATCCCACTCTCTTTAAAAATGAATGGAGCCCAGTTGGCTCGGTGGATAGAAAATCAGGAGGTCATGGTTTGTTTTTCAGTGGGGGCACAGGCCCAGGTTGTGGGCGCAATCCCCAGAGTGGGATCAACATTATTAACTCAGTGAATTCATAGAGCTGACTGCAGCCCTGCTGCTTTGGTGGGTGTTAGTTTTGCCGTTATTGTAATGGTGACCCCAGACCTCTGTGGGTCCTCCCACCCACAGGCCTCACCTGGTTATCCATCACAGAAGTCAACAGTGATTTCTATTGCACTAGATCTCTGTGCTGATACTGTGGTCTCTGACCCAGAGCAAGTGGAAGCAAGTTTTGGGAATCTAAGGGAGAGGGTAGCACTCTGTGGCTACATCGCTTTGTCTGAAACACCATTGCCCTACAGTAGATAGTCATGGAAGAATCCCTATTCTATGTCCTTGCCCAGGCATCTCTGCTGGCTCAGCTGCTATTCTCACTGCTCACCTTGCTGGAGTGCCCACTGAGACTCTCTGTTCTGCCCCATGGAAACAACTAAATACCACCAGCTTCCCCCACTCTGGATGGAGCTGGTCACCAACTCCTGCTGCAGGGCTGTGTCCATGGCCATCTGGCCTCTCCTCCCTTGTTCTCCTTCTATTCCTGGTTGCACACCTCTAGATGTTTCAGTGTGGTGGTCCCTCAGTCAGGCTTCTATAATGAGCAGGGAATTCCTTGTTGAGATATAGTTGATTAACTTATTCTAGTTGCAGGAGGAAAAGTCTGGGTGATCTCTCTCGCCTCCATTTTGCTGACATTGCTCCCCAAGTCTTAAACTCTTTTTTTTTTTTTTTTTAAATATATTTAATTGATTTTGTACAGAGAAGAAGGGAGAGAGATAGAGAGTTAGAAACATCGATGAGAGTCATCGATCAGCTGCCTCTTGCACACCCCCTACCGGGGATGTGCCCGCAACCAAGGTACATGCCCTTGACCGGAATCGAACCCGGGACCCTTCAGTCCCCAAGCCGACGCTCTATCCATTGAGCCAAACTGGTCTCGGCCCAAGTCTTAAACTCTTAATTTCTGTCATCACTCTTTTTTACTACTCGGTATTTATGTCACTCGATTTGCTATGCAAAGTGGTCGATTTGTTATTGTCCCATGTGGGCTTCCCTCTATCAAAATCTTCAATGTAGTATGTAAGTTTTTTGATTCTTCAGGTTGGTCATATCTCTCATTGATAATTCTGTTGTATTTTTATACTGGTGCATTTTTTTTTTAGCTTCCCTTTTATGTCCATTTTATTTCATAAATACTTTTATGTTTGGACCATGTTTTTTAGTTTTTCTCAATATCTTAATATCTCTTGTTGGGGTTCAGGAATTTAAACAACCAGGCCTTATGGACTTGCTTTTTGTAAGAGAAAATAACAATCACCTGAGGTAGAAATTCTAATTTCTGTCAAAATTGTTTGAGGGCAGAGTGTAAGTTCCAAGTTAAAATAATTTTCTATTTCTCCCCCATAACCCAAAATATCTTTTTGTTCTTTTTTTTTTTTTAATATATTTTATTGATTTTTTTTTACAGAGAGGAAGGAAGAGGGATAGTTAGAAACATGGATGAGAGAGAAACATCGATCAACTGCCTCCTGCCCACCCCCTACTAGGGATGTGCTCGCAACCAATGTACATGCCCCTGACCGGAATTAAACTGGGGACACTTCAGTCCTCAGACCAACGCTCTATCCACTGAGCCAAACCGGTTTCGGCTCTTTGTTCTTGCTAAGTGTTTTCACTACTGCAGTCTCTGTAGTGTTTGTATAATTACTCATATGTTCTTTTTTCTTTCTTAAATACTTTTTAATTGATTTCAGAGAAGAAGAGAGAGAAACATCAATGATGAGTGAGAATTATATTTATTTTTAATAATTCTTTATTGTTAAAATTATGACATGTGTCCCCCAGAAAGAGAATTATTGATCGAATGCCTCCTGCCCCTCAACACAGGATTAAGCCCACAATCCACGCATGTGCCTTGACCAGCAATCGAACTATGACACTGGTTTATAAGTTGATGCACAGCCACTGAACCATGTTGACCAGTCATCCACTTTTTCTCTTTAGCAGCCATTACAATGCATTCACCATGTACCAGTAATGCCATTAGTTTAGCAATCTGTATCATGCAAAACAGAAACATATTCTTCAAGATACTGCAAAAACACAAGATCATTGAACACACACAGTACCCTCATCTCTGTCTCTTCAGAGAAGAAACTAGGAAGTGGGAGTTTTTGTTTTTAATACTGCCACTGTTTGCTAGAGTGTTTTCAAGTATTGGTGGCAAATGGAAGCAACTTTATAACTCTCTTTGATGTGACATTTCCTTGTACCTTTCTTGATCTTGCTGTGAACATTTAACTTAATTTTGGAGTACTCAAAAATGTTATGTGGCCCTGGCTGGCTTGGCTCAGTGGATAGAGCTTTGGACTGCAGACTAAAGATTCCCCGGTTCAATTCCAGCCATGGGCACATGTATAGAATTGTTGTGGGCCCGATCCCCAGTAAGAGCAGTGCAGGAGGCAGCCAATCAATTCTCTCTCATCATTGATGTTTCTATCTCTCTCCTCCATCCTTCCTCTCTGAAATCAATGAGGAAAAAAAAAAAAAAAAAATATATATATATATATATATATATATATATATATATATATATATATAATTTCTATTTACGTTTTTATCTTTTTTTAAATAAATATTTATTCAGATTATTACAAATGTTCCTCTTTTATTTTTTCCCTTCATCCCTCCTCCCACCAGGTTCCCACCACACCCTCTGCCCTTTCTCCACCCCCCATTGTCCTCATCCATAGGTGCACAGTTTTTATTCAGTCTCTTCCAGTACCCCCTACTCCCCTTTTCCCCCAAGAATTGTCATTCCACTCCCCTTCCATACCTCTGATTCTATTATATTCACCAGTTAATATTGTTCATCAGATTTTTTAATTCCCTTGGTTTTTAGTTTCACTTGTTGATAGTTACATATTTGTTGTTTATAATTTTTATCTTTATTTTCTTCCTCTTCCTAAAGAACCCCCTTCAACAATTCATATAATTCTGGTTTGGCAGCGATGAACTCCTTTAGCTTTTTTTCATTTGCGAAGGCCTTCGATTCTGA